TAACAATAGGATTGAACACAATGTTAGCAGTAAAAATGGAATGTTTATTGCTTAATGAAGGGAGATACCTGACTCAAAATTTTAATCAAAACCGATACATAGTTATTATATATCCTGAGTATTTTGAATTGATATTTTTTAATACGTATTATCAAATTTAACACGTACAATACTGTTTACAGTTTTCACAAAATATTAAGTCAAAAATTGTTCTTGTTAAAAAGAAATGTTGAACTGTAAGAATATTAAGTAGTGCGTAAATTTTAAAATACAAGAAATGGATTTCTTTAGTCACCATCTGAGCATTAGTAATCATAAATATCTAGAGTATTTAAAACTTACATAAAAAGACTTTCCTTGAACATCATTTTACTAAGTTAAAGGGAGAAAACTGACTCAAAAATTTAAAACCTTACATCTTCATAGACGAAACATGTAAATCAACAAATACAATCATTATACATTATCTAAACTACATAATTATACATAATCTAATGAATATCTTAACAACAGAAGTATTTAAACTAAGGAAAGTAAAACAACATAACAAATATCATATTGGCACATGATATGTAGGGACACTTTTTAAATTGCATAAAATCAAATGTAGGTTAGAAGTTAAGATTTGTATAAGTGTTATAGGTAATCACCAGGAGGTATACATTTTAAATATACAGATGTTGCCATAGAAAGTCCTGATAACACACAAACATTTAAAGTTCTTTAAGATATTTGTAATGTTTACCACTTATCATCAAAAGTATCCATCTAAATGGAACTTGTAAACCAGTGTCATAAATAGCAGCTATCATATGCGACAATAAGTATCTAAGTAAAGCAATACTAACAAATTACTATCATTGGCACATGGCGTGTAAAGACACCTTTTAACTTGCATATAAAGAAAATCTTGGTAATTATTTAAAACACTATATTTTCAAAATATCATGAGGGAAAAAAGTAACTTTTTTTTTCTTAACATGGATCCCTAAATATTGCTTAATGAAGGGAGATAATTGACTCAAAATTTTAATGAAAACCGACACATAGTTATTACAACATAAACATATATATCCTGTGTATTTTGAATTGATATTTTATGATATGTATTATCAAATTTAACATGTAGAATACTGTTAACAGTTTTCACAACAAAAGATTTATTAAAACTATTCTTGTTAAAAAGGAATGATTAACTTTTAGAATATTAGGTATTGAGGTAGATTTGAAAATACAAGAAATAGATTCTTTTTACAAATATCTATCATATTGACACATGGTATCATTTAAAAATAGGTTTTATCAAAATAGATTTATTTTCAAAACCTGAGCATCAATTAAAATGTACATCAAACCTAAACATCAGTCTACTATCTAAACAAAACTAACTTAATGGTACATGGTATACAAAATCTTTCAAGTCATTTGAAATATGAACATTTTTTTAACAACTAAATTACGATTAACTAATAATACAAGTGCTGTATTTCTATTTACATTCTTAGAAATATTTTAAAACATGTTAAAATGACTATTTTTGTAAATATTTCTATCAAATAGGCAATCAAGATTACATTTGATGCCACATTTAATAAATTTATTGGTTCTGGTTAAACTTCAAATATTTATTTTGATATCTATCAATAAATTGGTGTAAGATTTACAACACCGTCTTTGTTTTGTAATGACCGAAGGCATAGCTATCACAGAAATTTGGTAAGATCCAACGCTTATCGTCAAAAGCGCACAGTCCCGATTTGTTGACGTTATACATGTATAACTGGTGCCTATCGCTCCTAATGGAGTGCATCTCACACATTGTTTTGTTTGTCAAAGAGACATTCTTTGTACATCTCGTGACACAAGTCACGCTTGATGGTAGCTTTGGCAATGCCTTTAGCCACTTGCTTTTCTTTGAATGAATTGGTAGTGATTCTCCTATTTTCAAAAGTAAAAGTTTTAGGAACCGCATATTGAAAACTGTACATTTCAGCGCGAAGTCCTACAAACTCTAAGATAGGCTTGCCTGCGGTTTCGTCTTTAAAATAACTGGGTATTTTTTTGTTGGTCGAACCGTGACAGAAGTGCTTAGTGGGATTATTTGACAAGTCAAATAAGTACGTATACCTATCATGCAACATATCAACATAGATGTCATCACAGAGCACGTGACAACAAAAACTGTCGGTGTCTGTAAATAATAACTTTATCCCATGTCCATATTTCGGTTTGAGGTATTTGTAGTAAAAATCGTACATGATACATTTCGATAGATCTAAGATGGCTTGACCAACGTAGACGGGTTTGTTTAAAACCAGCTTTATTTTTGCGTTTTCTATGCCAGTCAAATCCTCATTAATACTGGTCAGTCTTTGATACTTTTTATTTTGTTGGTCGTGTGAGCGAGTTTAACGTCGACCCTGTTGCGAACGTTCTTCATGGTTTTACCAAATACGAAGTTGTTCATCAATTTGAAAAAATCTTTTTCAAAATCGTTCTTGGAGAGCATTCTTTTTGCAGTTTTAAAGTCGATGTATTTCTTTAACCAAGGTACTTGTCTGAATTCCAACACTCTGTGAACATTTGCAACTGTCAGACCTAGATTTACATAGAGTTGTAAGTTTCTAAAGTGACAGATATATTTTGTTTTGTTTTCTAGGTTAGGCACCAACTTTTCTGTTTACGCGACCATATAGCTTGGACTTTGTATGCTTATCGCTTGGATTAAGCTCTCTCCACAATGCTTTGCTTGTGGGAGATACTCCTTGACCGACACAGTTTTACGCTCGAGAGCCAAAGGGTAATCACTCATTAAATCGTCTACCTCCAAATCGACCTCGAGGATATACCACAAGTCGCCCTCTTTAAGTATGGAGAGTACGTCAAACTTGTCGACATCTTCAACCCAGCGGAAATCCCATACGGGTAATGGTTCTGTTGTGGCTTTACCATATAGATTGTTACAATCTGTATACATGATTATACGAGACGGGATGGGAGGGATCGTAAGATTGGGGAATGTAGGGATTGTTGGCTTTTGCATATTTGTTAGAAACTATAGAAACACCTCCCCTTACTCCGTTCTCGAAGAAAAGATACATGTCTGGGTCTGTGAGTAATTCCAAACAAGCACTGGTCATTTTCAAAGCCGCCTGCCATGCCAGACCGGCAGCGGTGTAAAAGTGGGCGGCATTTAGTCCGTAGTAATTTAGACACATGTTTCGAAAAATTTCAAACACGTCAGCCAATAGTAATACGTCCGTTTTGAGATACAGATCGTGATATTGACCTACATTTTGAATCTTAAGTTGTTTCCAAACGTTTTGCGCATGATCGTAGTCTTCTTGTGAAATGTGCGGTTTACTTAACTGACCGTAGAAGCATTTTATGAGCGGTAAGCGCGTTTAGCCAATTTTCTGTCTACAGTCGACGTATTCGTATGGATAAACGCCCTTTCTAAATTATATTTCCGCTTCCGGTCTGTCCAATTCTTTCGCAAAATGCTTGAATTTAGGCAACCCTTCTTTTTATTAAGTTTCGGTAAGAGATTCCCGACTCTGAGACAAAAATTGAAAGGAGTCGATAAAGCGAAGATTGCCGAGACTGAACGAAATATATTTCCCCATGTTGTTGGGTATGCATGTAATATTGTGGTCTTTAAATAAACTTACGGCTTCACATACAATATGAGCGTCAAATCCTTTCAAGTTGTGAAATATAACGGAATCAAAAGAGGGATATTTGAAATTGAGGTTACATTCGTTATGGGCTGCTCCACTAAATTTTCCTATGATGTGTCAATGATCGCGCACTTTTAGACAAATCTCGGTAAAAGGGTGGTAACAAATATGACATTTGTAGCTTGATTGAAACACTCGCCCGTCTTCATTTGACATGTTTAACGGTTCTTTATGCTCTCGTAAAATGTCTTTGATTTGATTTGATTTTTCTATAATGTGTTCTAAAAATGTCTTGCTAACATAAGAGCCCCTTATAAATGACGGGAGATTTGATGTAATTATCGTTGGCACATACGACTTGATATCCGAACCCGCACGGTTCGAATTTAGTTTGTTTTGTGGTACTAGAGGCTTTAGGATTGGGGAGGCACGTGCTCATTTTTTGTGTAAAGGTCTCAAAATCTGCATAAATGACAAAAGGAACTTGAAGTTGTTTCGCAAAATCTTTAAACTCTAACTCATTATGTTTTTCATCGGGTAATTCCACTTGTTGGGGGTCATGTTTGGAGCAGTGCTCGATGTGGTTTTGTAATATATCTTCTCGGACGAAACCTTGAAGGCAGTAATGACAAAAGTAGGTCTTACAACGACGCTTCTTTGTTCTCGATAAGAAACCGTTTGAGTTGGGAATGAGGCAATAATGGATATTTTTGTTTTCCTGAATGTGAAGTAAATTGACTGTATGGCTTGCATGCCTGATTTTGGTGACGTATTAGGGAAATATATCATTATTTTCACACCCAAACACGTTCACCGAAATGCCATTTTGTTTTTCAAATTTACTTATTTGAGATATGGAGACGGGATAGGTTATGCCAGTCATGTCAAGGTCAGGTTGAAATCTTTCATAATGAGAGACATGATCGGGAACGTCGTGAATTGGATGGAGGGACGCCAAAACAGATCACAAACAACATTTGCGATCGTTGTTGATGATGTTGACTATGCCATGTGTCTTAAAAGTAGGTGGGGAAGGTATGCATGAAGAACCAGATAGAGGTGAGTAATTTACGATACTTACATTCAATTTCAATATTGATTTTCAAAATACAACTAGATCCTTTATGAACATATTACTCGAATGAGGCAAACATTTTCCGAAATGAAGCATTCAATTCACTATCAGAAAAACTGTCACTGGGCATGTAAATGTAATTGTTACTTCTGAAATGAGGAAACGACTGTTGAACGTTACCCTTCTTGTCTGTTGATACCACTTGATTCCATTAAGATTTTGACATCGCTGCTTTAAATGATCCTTTATTTTTCTCGAGTGTTGGAAATAAATGTCAATAAATCCATACGATCGTTGTCATTGGGATATATACTCCTTATATTTGCAGATCCATTAAGACTGCTTTCGTCCGAAAACTGTTTTGTGATATTCTGATAGTGTCCATCCATTTTAGGCATTTCCGACGGCTCCACATCCGGCGGCGGCTCTTTATCCAGCGGCGGCTCAACATCCGGTTGAGACTCCGGTGGTAGCCTCACATCCGGCAGCGGTGATTCCACGTCCGACGGCGGTGACTCAATATCCGGCGAAGACTCCAGTGGTAGCCCAACATCCGGCGGCGGCGGCTCAACATCCGGCGAAGACTCCGGTGACGGCTGCACATTCGGCGACGACAGCGGACTGCTACCTGTCTGGTTGTTTGTTGGTATTTCCGGCAGTGGGGAATCTACAACTGACAACTCTGCATCTGTCGGTGACGGAGACTGAATGTGCGATGGGCCTGCAATCGGCAATGGAATCCGGTAAGTCTTTGTTGATTGCTCGTTAACTTTCTTACGATGTCGTTTTAGGTTATAATTTGAAGAGTATGTATTACCACAATCACCACATGTCAATCTTTGTACTTCTCCATGGACGACTATTTTGTGACGCTGTCAATTTTTCACATACATCACACGTCACTTGAACGAAATGAGCCTTCACGTGTCTTCTGTATGACAGTTTGTTAGCAAACCGACGCCCACATTCACTACATTGATGAGTTAGTGTCTACTGTTTGATAACTTGAATCCTACACTCGTATTTATATGTTGCGCCTTTTTATGACGCATGCTCAGTGAAATCGTTTCTGCTCTACTGCGCCACAAGTTTAGATTTTAAAGGACAGCCACTTACGCTTTGGTTCAGTGTTCTGTTTGAATTGTGTTGGCGTCTCTCTGATATACAACCGCCCACCTTTTTTACCTTTGTTTTGGTGCGTACTACGTCTAATCTTAGGAGTGACCTAGCTGCTAAGGACCCGTTGCCTTCTCGGTGGTGACCTGTTAGTGACCCTTGGCCTTCTCGGTGGTGACCTGTTAGTGACCCTTGGCCTTCTCAGTGGTATCATTTCCATCATTGTTGTCAGTTTTATTATTTTTTAATTCGCTGCCTGTCGTTAACTTGTCCGTTTCAGACTTCGACAACAGTTGTTCGTATTTGGGTTTTGGAACTAGAATTAATTCTCTTGCCATTTCAAGTAGTTTACAAAAAATATGGGTAATACCTTACTCAATGCTTATCCCTAACACTTTACGTATGCTCAATTCATGCTTTGACACTTTCGTTTTATCCTCTTCGGATAGTAAAATGTTATCTGCTGCTATATTGTATATAATTTCTGTTAAAATCACCTTCTTCTGCTTTTCTGAGGCCATCAGCCAAAATTCGATCAAACTTTTCATTTTATTTTTTACAATATAATACCGTGTACTCTCCCGGCAAAATTCTCGTGCGAAGTGGAGGTAGTGTCGATGACGTATCGATTATATTTACATTAGGGGTCGAAGGTGAGACATCGATTAGTAAGTAACCAGATCTGTTTGACGTTGCCAACTGATAGGCTTCTCTAAAGTAGGCATTTTGTCTCGGAAATATTTGTCGTCCGAGAGCCTTCACTTGTGATTAATCTCGGTAATTTTTTAATAAAATAAAATATTGCGGGTTGACCCTAAGTGTGCGCATGACCTTTCCTTTTTTTGAAAAACGTTTTGCACTAAAAACATCACCGTGAAATTTTGATGGTGAGATTTTACACAAAACGTCTTCATTAAGTGCGAACTGTCTCGGGTCTGTGTTGACAATGAATCCGCAGAGGAAACGATTTATCATGTTAGGTATTTCGTCTCGAGTATATACTCCACTTACAACTTTTCTCATCACAGGATCTGAATTTATCGCATCAAAAAGCTGGTGAGTGTTCATGGTGACACAATGTCTCTTGCAGCGTTGATTTCGAAGTAATCAGAGTATTCACAGTAGATGATACAGGACACAGCTTCCGTTAATGCAGATCCAAACGTAGTCTCTTATCTGACGTTTCCTTGTTTGAGCAAGGTAAGATATTGACTCGCTCTGAATGTTGGTTCTAGACCAAAGGTGTAAAGGGAATAGCCCTGTCCAATATCGTCTCTCTCCAAATTCAACCCTGTATCACTCAGCCATTTTCCGGTGGATTGTAGCATACTCCTCAGTACAGGAATGACGGTCTGTCCACCATTTTCACTGTATTTTAGCTTCAGGGGATTGCCTCCGACGGGTATACCATCTACGTATACGAGTCCATTAGATTAAAGGTCGTAAGACTGAAAGAACCAGGGGTTTTGCTCGTAGCTACCTGATGCACCGATAGCATTTACAAATCCAACTACGACTAAATTCGGTCACATGCCTTGAAATATATTGTCGTAGGTAAAATTGTTAGAACCTGCTGGAATGGTCATCTGTTTGATGAGAGTCTGAGTAAATGGATATTTGGCATTGGTCCGCTCAAGGACTAGACTCTCGAATATCTTCAAACATCACCTTATAATCTGCAGTAACATTACCCGACAATAGACAAAATTCGGGTTTTGATCTGTACAGTTTAACGTTGACGTTAACCTGAATTAACAAATACCTGTCCATCTTGAACAAATCGTGATAGAGTGATCCTACCACGTTCCCCTCTATCTAAAAGTGCATTATTTGAACCCGTTCTTGGACTATCCGCGTCCATGCTACCCTCATCGTCTTGCCCCCACAGTTATGTTGACAATTGTGACGTTTTAGCGTCCTTTCCATATTTCAATAAAGTTTGAATGTAGGCTTTGTAGGCATAATGGTTTGCGGTTGATACGACAGTTTTCCCTTGTAAAGTAATGTCCACTTGTGAAAACAAAGAAGGTAAAAATAAATTTATGGGTCCTACATCTACCGTATCGCTTATCGCAGTTCCATCTCCTTTAACAATCTTAACTTGGTGGGAGATCAAACAGAACCAATTCTGATGGTTGCCCTTCTCTAAAAAAATCCTTGTTTACCGTAGCCATTGCGATATGATACTTTTGCTCGTCTTCTTAGTCTTTTTAGATTTTTTCTTCTTTGAATGTCGCTTCTTAGTTGACTTTTTAAAACTGCTCCTGACCTGCTTCTTTTTTATAGTCGATTTACGCCTTTTTAGCTGCTTCTTAGTTGTGGAGGTGTGAACTCGACGACGTTTTGCTGCAAAAAGACGATTAGATGAAACCCCATGCCTTTTGAGCTCAGATTTTGCTTGTTCGACGACTTGCTGTCCTGGTGACACCATGTTAACATCAACGTCTCGTGCTGGTAAAGATTTTTCCTTCGCTATTTGTTTTGTCTATCAGAATCATAAACTCGTTCGAATTCTGTGATATACCTCCTCCCCATTATTTCACGTTCCTGTTCACGTTGTTCGCATATGCATTTTCCTTGCCTTGTAACACATCTTGGTAATATTTCATCCACTTCCCCACGTTAAGGTCGCACATCTTTGAAACATTCATGTTAAGAACGGAAACTGTTTAAAGTATAGTGTAATCGTCACTCGTCCTTTTAAGAATGAAACCAGTTCCCCTTTGCCAGTCTTTATATTGATTTCTATGTCTCTGATTTCAGATTTTTTCACAGGAACGTAGAATGGGTTGTTAAATGTCTGTGACCAGTTTCTAACTTTTAGCGCTCTCACCACTCGAAGTAGATTTTCCTTTTCTCCATCGACAACACTTTCGCCACATATGTCACTGTATAGGTATATATTTTGATTCGTCTTTGATGCGCTAGACCACTAATGCTACTTTCCATATTCCGTCGAGATTTCACGGAGACTGGAAATGTGTGGCATTGATGTTGGGAAAATACGCCTTACTGTTATCGCTGTGGACAATCACGTATTGTGAAAACTTATGGTCTCGTGACGTCTTTGATATCTTCCTCTGCAATCCACTGGTTATATATTGAGGGCCAACCTTCGAATTTTACAAACCATTTAATACGACCTGCTCTTTCACGTTTCTACAGTTTTTCATCGATGAACCATAACGCATTTTCGTCCTTATCGACTCTTTGCAATTCCGACCTTTTATGTCTTCATTTAATAAGTCGATCAGCTGGTATTGTGGAATACCCTGACGTAGAAATCGTCAATGTATTTGTGGAATACCCTGACGTAGAAATCGTCAATGTACTTGTGGAATACCCTGACGTAGAAATCGTCTATGTACTTGTGGAATACCCTGACGTAGAAATCGTCTATGTACTTGTGGAATACCCTGACGTAGAAATCGTCTATGTACTTGTGGAATACCCTGACGTAGAAATCGTCTATGTACTTGTGGAATACCCTGACGTAGAAATCGTCTATGTACTTGTGGAATACCCTGACGTAGAAATCGTCTATGTACTTGTGGAATACCCTGACGTAGAAATCGTCTATGTACTTGTGGAATACCCTGACGTAGAAATCGTCTATGTACTTGTGGAATACCCTGACGTAGAAATCGTCTATGTACTTGTGGAATACCCTGACGTAGAAATCGTCTATGTACTTGTGGAATACCCTGACGTAGAAATCGTCTATGTACTTGTGGAATACCCTGACGTAGAAATCGTCTATGTACTTTAAAAATTTAAGAAGACCATTGCTGTTGATAAGCTCTAATAAAGGGTTGCTTTAAGTGAGCAATTCTCACGAGACTTCCAATCTTAAATCTGAAAGGGTTTTTGTTACCTTTCGTAGTGTTTACCTTTTGCTTTAAAGACTTTTGTAAAGGATACAAATAGGCAAATACATCGGCTTTGTTAGAATCGTTTACGTCTCTTGGTGATAATCCGTTTAAAGATCTGTGAGGTGTGGCGTTGTAATTTCCAACAAAATCTTGCAACTTGTCGATGTACTTATAAGTCCTATATTTTGTAAAGTATCTATACATCATCGTCTTGAGTGTCCTAATTACTCTTTCAGTATAGTTAGCTTTCGTTTCATTCTGAGTGGTAAAATAATGAACGTCATGTGCTTGACACCAATTTTTCATCAATCTATTGTTTGTTTCGCCCCTTTGTCACAGCGCATGCGCTTTGTGGCTTTGCCTCTCTCGACGATCTTTTTAAATGCATTTGATACATCTCTGGCCGTTTTTGTCATAACAGGTTCGACCCATAAGAAACGAGTAAATACGTCAATGACCACAAGGAGAAACCGACAACAAGAGTTCTGCTTCGAGAGGGAGGAAACGTCTGCAAGATCTACATCGTATTGCTCATAGGGACCCGACACTTCAACCCGTGCTCGCTTAAATGAACGTCTTGGAGGCTTCTGAAAACTGTAATCGTCGAGACTTTGAATGTATCGCCTAATTTTATAAAGACCTAGCGATGTATATCCCTGTGCTTTCAATATCTGATGTACTTTTGTGGGACTGAGAGTCGTAATACACCGCATCTATGCGTCTCTTCTCCTCTTCTGTCAACAGAATGATAATGAGACGAGAGTTTATGCATGCAATCTTTTATAACAAATTAAATATTTTACAAATAAAAAGTATTTTACAACGTTTTGTTATTAAACCATTTTTCTAAACGATTCATGGACCATTTGACTGACGTCGTCTTTCCATTTGGCTGTTTTGAGAACACTCATTCTCCATCTGGCAAATTGAATCGGTGTTACATTACTTAGGGGATAGTACGTTGTTTTGAGTGGCTATACTGGCGATTAGAACATGGAATTTGTGTTTGAACTCGAGACCGATAGGTCGAGAGTTTAACCCAAATCTCATGTTCTAATCGCCAGTATAGACACGAAAAACAACGTACTATCCCCATTTTGTCGCATAGACATGTCACTTTCCCTTTGATCTAGCTATGGTATAACCAACTTATTTTACACGGTTTTACTAATACCATATGATATTAGTGAGGCTCCTCCCCTATACTGAATACAATAGAATTCTCCATTCTCATTGGTCAGCCTATGAAAGATCGACACCGTGGGAAATAACTAACTATACAAATCAGGGACAGTATTCAAACACATTGTATTAAGCAACATTGTTGCAAACAATTCAACAAATTGCGCCTTTACAGACAGGTTCCACGGTCCATCTTTTTTCCGTTTTGTAAGTTAAAGTCTTAGCATAAACTGGTACTAGTCGGTCTTGTAATCAAAAGACAATTGGCAATTGTGAAACACATTTCTGGACATATTAGAAATATCAGCAAATGGAACATGGTCCTTTTCTGAAGGCATGTTAATATTCACATTAGTAGGCTTAATATCTGAGTTACCATTTTGACATGTAGCGCCCTCAATTTTTACCATTTTCTGGACCACTTTCAATGCGAGTCATAAACTGAGACAAATGAATATCGTCCGGGTCGTCAAAGTCAATGTGTGCCAAACTTGGCCTCGAGTTTGAGATGAAGTCCGACATGTTGCAAACATTTTTTTCTAATGACCAAATGTTCTCTTAGATTGTTACGTGACACTTTATGCGACAAGTCGGTTACATCATAGGCCTCGCAATATGTCAGTTATCGTACTCGAGGGGCGGAGCTTACATCTCTCGCGCTACGCGCTCGAGAAGTAGCTCCGCCCCTCTCGTACAATAACTAACATATTGCTCGGTTCCTATGATATAACCAATACCTAACACACCTTAACAAATATACTACGCTAATATGTTTAGAAACATTGTATTTCCTTGTACAAAAGTACTTTGTGACCTGAACTGGCGACGTGTCATTCTGCAGCGGACTGACCAATCGGATAGAAGCTTTCAAAAGTCGGTCATTTGGCCCCGCCCATACTGGCGAGAGCTCGGTCTGTATGTTGACGAGGCGGAATATTTGGATTGTTCGTGAACGTCCTGTTACCAAAGTTTATACGACACATTCGGATTAATATTGAACAAGTTCTTACATTTCCATGTCAGTATGCATACCAATCGGTGCTTATCGACAAAATCGGCGATTATTTGTATAGATTTTTGAAGAGTTTTGTGTAAATGCATACGACACATGTGAAATGTTTGTTTTGATTTCGGATCTAAATAGATGCCTTTACACGGATGGAACGAACGTTTCAGTAATAAATGGAGGTAAGAACAAGGAATGCGTTCTTTTTATTTTTTAATTCATTCAACAAATGCATTTCATCGGTCGTTTCTGTTCTGTTGCCTACTAGCCTTATCAGCGGGATTTCGCTATAAGGCGAGCTTTACGCCATATTGTTTGGGTTAGAAACGGGGCGTGGCTTAAGTGCGATGGAAGGAGCTTAACACGATTGACCATGATTCTATCGCAGATTAGAACATGGTCCGTATCCAATCAAAACACGCGTTGCAAACGAATCGTGTTAGAATTAGGGGATAGTACGTTGTTTTGAGTGGCTATGCTGGCGATTAGAACATGAAATTTGGGTTTGAACTCGAGACCGATAGCAAATATACTACGCTAATATGTTTAGAAACATTGTATATCCTTGTACAAAAGTACGTAGTAAAATACTTTGTGACCTGAACTGGCGACGTGTCAATCTGCAGCGGACTGACTAATCGGAAAGAAGCTTTCAAAAGTCGGTCATTTGGCCCCGCCCATACTGGCGAGAGCTCGATCTGTATGTTGACGAGGCGGAATATTTGGATTGTTCGGAAACGTCCTGTTACCAAAGTTTATACGACACATTTGGATTAATATTGACCAAGTTCTTACATTTCCATGTCAGTATGCATACCAATCTGTGCTTATCGACAAAATCGGCGATTATTTGTATAGATTTTTGAAGAGTTTTGTCCGTATCCAATCAAAACACGCGTTGCAAACGAATCGTGTTAGAATGTACGATATGAGCATTTCTTGCAGTTCTTGGAATGTTAGAGCTTACAGTTTCTCGAATAAAGTCACGTATCGCTTTGACTGTCATCCACACTGTCCAATGCGTCCTTTATACTACATTGCTGTTGTTGCTATTTTTTTGACGCGGTATGCAATATACCAGTTTTAAAAGGTTGTCCATTCTGATGCAATCTGGCGAGTTCATTGTCAGCAGATCTTCAATCAGTCTACAAAGTGTAGAGTAGAATAAGCATCGATACACTCCACGGAAATATTTCAAAGTTTTACCACGCTTATAACATGTAATATAATCACCGTGACCTTCGTGGAAAATTCCATCACGAGCCAGCTGGTATGGACGACGTTTACATGGCCACTGTAAGAATGTCATCAACCGACAGGTACGGCTTGTCATGTGGTTATGAAAAATGTCGATACGATTCATCTGTATAT